AAGGCTTCCAGACTCTAAAATCAGTGCAGAGGGTCTAACCAAATCACGAAACATCAACAGCATCCTGCCTGATTCCTAGGGCTTACAGGTGTGTGAAGTGTTACTTTTCTTGATAAGCATAACAGCAATAGTTAGATGGTGCTTATTCTTTTATTTTTATTTTTTTTTGTTTTTTTTTTAATTTTTTATTGTTATGTTAATCCCCATACATTACATCATTAGTTTTAGATGTAGTGTTCCATGATTCATTGTTTGTGCATAACACCCAGTGCTCCATGCAGAACGTGCCCTCCTCAATACCCACCACCAAGCCAACCCATCCCCCCACCCCCCTCCCCTCTAGAACCCTCAGTTTGTTTCTCAGAGTCCATCGTCTCTCATGGTTCGTCTCCCCCTCCGATTTCCCCCCCTTCATTCTTCCCCTCCTGCTACCTTCTTCTTCTTCTTCTTTTTTTTTTTCTTAACATATATTGCATTATTTGTTTCAGAGGTACAGATCTGAGATTCAACAGTCTTGCCCAATTCACAGCGCTTCCCAGAGCACATACCCTCCCCAGTGTCCACCTAGATGGTGCTTATTCTTAAGTTCTGCATGTCTCATGTGGGTTCATTTCCTTCATAAAAACTATGAGGAAGGTCCTGCTGTTACCTTCATTTGCCAGAGGGGAAACTGAGGCTCAAGAGGTTAAGTGACACGCCCACGGCCACAGCGCTGGTGAGTGTGGGAGCAGCGCCAGGTCCAAGGCGCTCCGGCTTCAGAGTCCCTTCCTGACCACTAAGCTATACTCCATGTCTGCTGAGGCTGCGAACTGCAAACCTCTCACGCTGAGGTTGTGGGCCATTTCTCAAAAGAACTCCAGCCACTTAAACTCATTTTGTGGCTGGAAAGGAATCTTTGAAGTCTCTTTGTTCAGCCCCCACCTTACAGATGAGGACCCTGCGACCTGAGGGGAGTGTGGGGACTTGCCCTGAGCCCGGGGCTCTTTCACCCACCACGCTGCGCATCCATGTCGCTTCTCTTCAAAGGGGGTAGGCCCCTTCTCTGGCCTTGACAAATGCCGGCGGAGAAGACTGGGGCACAGTGCTCTCATCACAGACACTCGTGTTTCTGACCCACCGTCAGCAGGCCTTGTCTGAGCCTTTGAAGAGCAGTAAGCGCAGTCCCTGGTAGTTCAATAGAGGCCCCGCTAACTGGGCAGCCTAACTCAAGAACTGGCCCTTCCAGGCCAGACCCAGAAGGCTTTGTCCTGGTCCGCCCTGCCTCCAGCTGTTGGGGCTGAAATCCAATAAACGACTTCACCACTAGGGAAGTGCTAGGAGCAAATTGGGAATTCTTTATCAGAGACACAACTTGACTGGGAACCACTCGGGCTGACTATGACTTCAAGGGGAATTCGCCCAGTGGTCACAGCGCTGGAAGAGGTATTCTTTGCATGTAAACTGGGCCATCTCACAGCTCTGAATCTAATAATTTAATTAGCTCCGTAGATAGCTAGACATTATGGAAGTCAGGGCAGCACGTCAAATAGACAGTTTTACCATGGCCGCGCGGGGAGCCTTCCTCCACCACGTCCGTGGGGAGCAGCTGCCTCGTGCTGCCGAGCAGCTGCCACCAGTGGGGCTCTCCAGGCCTGCCACCTCCTGGAATCTCACCACGGACCTGTTTTCCCTTTGATTTGAGCCTGGAAAACGCTTCAGTGCAGCTCTCAAGATCTTAAAAATTAATCGCGTTCATTCATTTCACTTTTTATGGAATTTTTAGAACATACACAAATGAGGCAAGAAGGGTAATGAGGCCCCCTATACTCAACACCCAGCCTCAAGCTTCGTCCTGCTGATTCATCCAGTCTTCCACAAACAAACGATTTCGTTGAATTGTCTGTTCGCTTTTGCTGGATTATTTCAAAGTGAGTTCCAGACGACATATCGTTTCACTTGTAAATACGTCAGGAATTATCTCTAACCACTAAGTACTTTAATAAAAACATAACATGATCCTGTTATCACACCTAACATTACCAAGAACTTTTCAACATCATCTAATACTCTGCTGCTAAGATATAATAACAATATCCTGGGATTCAATTATTGTCCAATTGGCTCAATTTCCCCCAGTTGTCTCCAAAAATGCCATTTTGCAGTTGGTTTCTTTGAATGGACTCCAAATAAGCTCCACACTTTGCATTTCTTAAATCCCATCAAATCTCTAACAATTCCCTCCCCACCCTACCCCCGTTTTATGCCTTTTATTTGTTGAAAAACCATTTATTTGAACAAACTTTATTTGTTCATTTGTCCTATAGTTTCCCTGACTCTGGGTTGGCTGGTTGCATCTTTATGGTGTCATTTTACATGTTCTCTTTCCCCTGGGTTTCCTATCAAATCAAGTCTAGAGACTTGATTGGAGTCAGGCTCAATTTTTTATTTTTACCTTTTTGCAAGAATTCTTCATAGGCAGTTCTGAGATCTTCCTATGATGTGATCTCTAGAGGTCCATAATGCCTGGTAGACTCAACCTTAGTGGGATTCAGATTGGTCAGGGACTTCAGGGAAGTTTGGCCTGATCCACCCGTCACAAAGTCCCCATCATGTCCAGGTCTATTCTTTAATTAAGAGCTGCCCACTCAACTAGACTTACCAGAGGCTTGAAAAGAGATCAGCTCAGTTCCCATTAGTGGTGATTTTTCAAGTCTAGCATCAGAATTCTTTTGCTTTATCATTCTGTGTGCCATTCTGAAGACTTTGCCCTCTTTTTTTTTTTTTTTTATTTATTTGAGAGAGAGAATGAGAGGGAGGAGGGTCAGAGGGAGAAGCAGACTCCCTACCGAGCAGGGAGCCCGATGTGGGACTCGATCCCGGGACTCCAGGATCATGACCTGAGCCGAAGGCAGTCGCTTAACCAACTGAGCCACCCAGGCGCCCCAAGACTCTGCCCTCTTATCCAGAAATGCTTCCCTCCAGGAGAGCTACTCTAACCTCCTGTGCTCTGTTCCTGGTGAGCTGAGATCTCCGGGTGGAGAGTTTTACTTTACACAGAAGCCAATTCTAGAACTCCACTACCAATTCCAAATTGATTCAACCAGAAAAATCAACATTTTTTATTTCCATTTCTTTCCTTTTCCACTCCCTTCCTCCCTCTCTTGGTGATTTTGGATAGAGGAGACAAGGAGTGTGTTCACAGAAAGTCTGAATACTCAAGTTCCTCACATCTTGCCCCACAGATCAAGTTATTTGTTGAGCACGTCCGTGTAACTGCTGTGTGCAAAATATATCCCATGTATGACTTTACTGGATCCCCACAACCTCCTTCTGATGCAAGGTATTCTTTCAAGACGCATTTTTCAGATGGAAAAGCTGAGATTCCAACAGACTTAGAATCTAGGGCCCTTGCTCCAAGCCACCGCGTCACGGTATCTCCCAAACATATGCAGGGAGCTCTGTGAGGTTTGTTTGCCTGTTTGCCTGGAAGAATGTCCGCTCTTGATTACAGGGCCCAACCTGCAGGTCATCAGAGCTGAGGAGACAATAGGCCCAGTATTTAGCAGGAGCTTCATAATAAAAATGTGTTAAATGAATGAACCAAGTTAGTCTAGAAAGACTAGATCTAGGATCTAGATAAGGATCTAGAAAAATCCTTAGTTTATTTTTGTAAGTAGAGATTCAAGAAGACTTTTGCAGGGTTGTTTTAAGATTCATTGAGATACCAGCACAGTAGCTGACACAAAATAAGTGCTTGGTCCCTGGGAAGTCTCACCATGTGGATAATCCAAAAAAGCAGATAATCCCAATTATCCCAAACTCAGCCTTGGGAGTGCATTATTTGATTCAGGTAAGGTTTCACTTTCCTACTTATGTTTTGTCTGGGCTAGTACCATCGAACACCATGGAACGTTGGTCCTTTGAGGTGATCTGAGTTCATGGTTCTCGCCAGAGAGAATAAATGCCCTGAGCCGGCCTGCACTAAAGGAAGCTTTTAACTCAAAGTTGCCCAAACATCTTATCATAGAATTCCTTTTCCAAGGAATACTCATTGAAGTCCTCCAAAACTATTTTCTGTAGGTCACCCTTGGGGAATGTTGGCAGAGCAAATATTAAAGAGAGTTTGCATCCCCTCATTTCTCAACTAAGGAATGTGATATGCTCAGTCACAAGAAGGGTAGGCCCTTGGAGAGAGCCCTGATTAAAGTTTGCCACCCGCCATCTACAAAGTGGGTGAGAGAGACAGGCTGAGTTTTCATAGCAAAGGATGAAAAAGATGAGCATGTTTATAGCACATGAATCAAGGCTCAACTTCCCTAAAAGCTGTTGCCTTACTAGTAACAGGAAGCCTAATGTTCTAGGACTGTCTGGTTTTAATTATTTCAATTTATCTATTTGATTTTGACTTTCTCTCTGTGGGGCGCCTGAGTTTCTGGCTTCCATCCATGAGATATGAGCTAAAAACATTTGAGAATATCACAAAGACTGCTCTGCCACTCACCCCACTCTTTCTATTAAGGATCTTGCTATTGACTACGATTTTCTATGATGGAAAAAAATCAACGAAAACTAAACAGGTGATAATGATTTGGTGGGAGGGAACAGTCATTAGGATACCTCCCTCATAATTTTTGGCCATATCAGGGTACCATCTGTATTAGTATTGACATACTTTAAATCATCTCACCTTTTTAATGTAAAGAAATATATTTAAATGGAAGTTTCGGGGCACCTGGGTGGCTCGGTCGGTTGGGTGCCTGCCTTCGGCTCAGGTGATGATCCCAGGGTCCTGGGATCGAGCCCCACCTCGGGCTCCCTGCTCAGTGGAGAGCCTGCTTCTCCCTCTGCCCCTCCCCCTGCTCATGCTCTCTCTCCCTCTTTCTCTCTCTCTTTCTCAAATAAATAAATAAAACCTTAAAAAAAAATGGAAGTTTATTGTACTGTATAAACAGAAAGCCAGAATCACTCACCATAAAGAAGGAAATTTTAAAATTACAATAAAAATAAAATAGTTTGTTAAACTTGAAATGGTAAAAGGATTAAAAGAAAATAATACAGGGCACCTGGGTGGCTCAGTGGGTTAAGTGTCCAACTCTTAATCTCAGCTCAGGTCTTGATCTCAGGGTCGTGAGTTCAAGCCCCGCATTGGGCTCCATGCCAGGCATGGAGCCTATTTAAAAAAAAAAAAGAAAGAACGAAAAGACCAAATAACACAACTACTGAAAAATTTAAAACACATACCTAGACATCAAGAGATATATATTACATTTATTAGATAAACATAAGTTCTTTATGTGTTTTGTGTTGTTTTTTTTTTAATTCCTACCCAGAAAGGGTAAAAGAAAGCAGTTAGCACTAGCTTTTGAAATGGCAAATGCACATACTCCTTGACCCTGTCATTCTCCTTCTAAGGGTTAATCTTATAGACACACGAAACACTTGCCAGGTAACAGTACAAAGCTGTTACAGCATTGTTTGCATCACAAAAGATCCAAAACAACTCAAAGACTGGAGACCCCTAAATGTCCTGGGGGATAAGTAAAAATCAGTACAACATGAGATCCATCCCATGTAATCAAAGACTATGCAGACACAAAAAGAACGACACAGATCTTTATATATCAACCTGAATGAACTCCAGGACATATTTTTTAAATGGAAAAAAAAAAAAGCAATATGTAGGACAGTGTTTATAGTGAAGGTAAAATTTTTTTAAAAACCCAAATATACATATTTGCCTTTATATGCATAAAATAAATCTAGGACACAGGATAACATCAGTTGCTTCTGGAGAAGGGAGCTTCCTATCTGTGACCAGGGCACAGACACAGAAGGGAGATTTTCCACTGTACACCTTTTTGTGTTTTAAGTTTTGAATTTTGAAGTAAGAAAGTTGTGGTAGGCAGAATGATGACCTTGCTAAGACGTCCACGTCCCAATCCCTGGAACCTGTGAATATGTTGTGTTGTCGAAAGGAGTAATTAGGGTTGCAGATGGAATTAGGGTTGCTAGTCAATGACCTTAAAATAAAGAGATTATCCTGGATTATCCAGATGTAATCACGAGAGTCCTTAGAGCCAAAGAGGGAGACAAGAGAACCATCGTCAGAGTCAGAGAGAGAGAACTGAAGGTTTTAGGCTTCTGTCTTTGAAAACGGAAGAAGGGGGCTAAGAGCCAAGAAATGCAGGTAACCTCTAGAAGATGAAAAAAGCAAGGACACAGATTTTCCCTAGAGCCTCCAGAAGGAACACAGCCCTGAATACACCTCGATTTTAGCTCAGTGAGACCCACTTCAGACTACTGACCTCCATGATGCGAAGGTAATAAAATCATGTTGTTTTGAGCCAATAGGCTTGTGGTCATTTGTTCCAGCAGCAATAAAGTATCACTTATTTTAAATATATACACACACATATTTGTATACTTAAAATATATAACATAATGGTTGAAAGTTTGGCTTGAGAAGCCAGAATTGTCTGGGTTTTAATCCTGGCTTCTCTGCCTGTGCAACCCAGGGCAAGATGTTTTTTTTTTTTTTTTTTTTTGACACAGAGAGAGGGGGGGGGGGAGGAAGAGCAGGAACACAAGCAGGGGGAGTGGGAGAGGGAGAAGCAGGCCTCCCGTGGAGCAGGGAGCCTGATGTTGGGCTCGATCCCAGGACCCTGGGATCCTGACCTGAGCCGAAGGCAGACGCTTAACGACTGAGTCACCCAGGTGCCCCAAGATGCTTAACCTTTTGTGCCTGTTTCATCATCTATAAAACAGAGATAGTAACAGTCGCTTATTTACAGGATAATATCTGCCTCCCAGCGTCATCGAGAGGATTAAAGGAGTATGTGCACTTCCAACGGCACCTTGCACAAGGAAAGTGCTAGTAAATGTTGACTACTCCTCTGTTTAATGGTCTTCTCTGACTGGATCAGATGCTGAGAAATAATTCCCACTTAAAATGACATAAGTGGAACAAAACGATATAAATGACTGTATTCAAAAACAAAAAAAACCCAAACGAACCCAAAAAAAGCAGTTTCAAGAAACCATCTGAAGCTATCTCTAGAACCCGCTCTTCTTAAAAAGGTCCAAAGTTATTTGGTGATGTCCTAAAGTGGTGCCGTAAGAGTTTCCTTGTCCACCAAGCCACTTCCAGTTTGACTTATAGAGCCCTTTTATTAAGTCGTCTAAGTGTCTCTTCCTATTTTCAGGTGGGTTACTAACCAGATCTTTCAGGCAAGGGCAAAAATCTCAACTCCCCAGACCAAGGTCTCTGCCAGATGGGGCCAGGTTTCCAGCGCTGCGACTCCTGGGTCTCCATGGTGGACCACTCACTCCTACACTTGCCTGGTAACAGCACGCACCGGAGTTGACATGAACGCAGAGATTAACTTGTAAAGCCAGGCCCATCCACGCACAATATCTCCCCCAGGGAGAGTTTTCAATGAAAAAAATAAAGTTCCTTTTACAACTTGAAAGAACAAAAACTTTTCTAATCAAAAGACAATGAGCTTTCGTTTGAAATGGTGCTTTGCAGTCATGACCCGTCTCTTCATACAGCCAAGAAAAAAGGCCAGGTATTTATTTAACGGCCTGCTTGGGACGTGGTTGACAATTTTATTAGCTTCATTAAGTACCTGTCTTAAGTCTTCATACATATTCTGAAGGGCAACTGTTTCTTTGTAACAGCGTGAAGGTGGAGATGGTCTTCTGGTGTTGCCAACCAGACCTTCAGCCTGTGCGTGCCTATCCCAGATTCTCACTTCCGGGCTGTATCACGAGGCATTCGTCAGTTGTCTGTGCAAGTCGGTTAAGGTTGGCAGCCTAAAAATATTTTCATGGGCTTCTTTACCTAGTTCATAGGTTGTCATACTGACAACCCTAAAAGAACATTAGGATTCAGAATATCAGTGGGTTTGCCAGTTTGCAATAACTCATTTCACTTGGTTGTGCTAATAAAAATGGCTGCCTTCTATCGGCCGCCATTCTGTAATTTACTCTGTGGGACAGAGATATCTTGTCAATCATTGTGTTTTCTTTGATCATCATTCTCTACCCTTTTTTTTTTTTTCTTTTTTGGTGTCAGGACTGAAAATTTGTCAATAAACTTAGCAGTTCTAGGCATTGCAATTAAATACAATCCTACACATTTGGCTTCCACAGAGTTTACAATTTTATCTCCTGATACACTGTGTTCTAGTCATAACATTAAGTTACTTTGACAGTTTTTAAGATGGTATTCTATGTACATTTCAAAATGATGCCTGATGTTGGGTAAGTTTATGCCAGAATTTAGGAGCATCTCTAAAATATGTGGTGCATGATGGCATTGGTTCACTTTCATTGCCAGTCCATCGGTAATCCAGATTTCAAATAATAACCACCACATTTGTATGTATTTTATTGTTTTGTTGTCATTTGCTTTGTTTGCATCTGATACCTTTGCAACACTAATAGGCAGTTCTGAGATTTATTCATGTGCGAATTACCCTTGCCCAAAGACAAATGCCTTTTTAAATCCCAATACCCAGGAATGCTCCCATGTCCTTCATAATTTCCACCTGTCTTCAACCACTGATGCACAATGGGTTCAATTGGATTAGAAAAAAATCAGATCAGAATCCCAACTCCAGTGCACAATGATGTATTCTTACCTATTGCAAACTAAAAAAACTGTCAGCTTCCAAAAGGGGTGTTTTGATTTATTACTGAAAAGAACACACAACACATACAGGAGTTCAGTGTTGGAGAATCTATTCTAGCAAATTGCTCTGGTTTTTTTTTATTTAACATAGCACTTATAACTTTCTAATATATTATTTACTTGTGTATTGTAGTTATTTTTATGATCTGTCACTACTGTCTCCCCTCCCCCCAGGAATGGAAGCTCCATGACATAGGGATTTTTGTCTGTTTTGATTTACAGCTGTCTCCCCAGCTAAAACAGTGCTTGCTACATAGTAGATACTCAGTCAGTATTTGTAGTATTTGTAGAATAAGGGGACGAATGGACCAGCAGTGCAGACAGAGGGTGGGCTCCCACGAGCATCAAAGACCCAAACTATCTCTCAGCCCTGCCATGCTCAATGACAGCTTTGTCCTTGGCTGGTTCCCTTTGTGGTCACAAGATGGCTGCCAGAGTCAGTCAGCATTATCTTGTCCACATCTATGAGGATAGAGAAAACATTTAAGTGGGTCCTGTGCTCCCAGTGGGGGGTGATGACACACATGCAGACAATGGCTTAAACTAATCCGAACCCATCCTTTCCCTGACAGCTAAGTTGAACAGTTTGAGTCAGCATCTCCTGAACATGTAGTGGGCCATGGAGGCTGATGGACACCTTAAGTAAGGAAGTGGGGGTGGAAATGGGTGATAGGAAGCCAACGCTGTCTACTACAACTCTCCTGATTTTTTTAAATACCAAATAGTTCAGAGGGTAAGGAGGAAAAATAAATCTTCCTCTCTTTCCTCCATGCCAACTGCCAGAAGTAACCTTGCTACAGCATTCTATTGAGCATCTATTAAGGGCATAGCATCAGCGAGAGACATAACACAAGAGCTGCCAGGACTTGGGAAACTGGTAGCTGAGACTGAAGAAAGGCGGAAGAAAAATGATGCCAATTTTTTTAACCTGGGTGTTGGTATAAAAAGGTGTCAGAATTTGTTTCTAGAAAGGGTGAGTTTGAGGTGGGAGCCGAGAGTAGGTATCCGATAAGCCACTCATTTGCCATTCAATAAATAAAGACCTACTATGTGCTAGATAGTGCTCTAGGCAATATCTGCAGCAGTGAACAAGCCCCACCCTCATGGAACTTATCTTTTATTGGGGGCTGATAGGTAATTAACAGAATATTAATAAATATGTAATATATCAGGCAGTGATATGTGCTATGGAGAAAAATGGTTATGACATGACCAGGGAGGAGGTGGCTGCAGATTTCAATAGAATGACTAAGGAAGGCTTTCCTGAGAAGGTTACATTTGAATGAAATTTAGAGATGAGGGAACAAGCCCACAGACATTGAGGAAGGGGCTCAGTTTAAAAAATTTTAAATTCCAGATACTTGCAGAACGTCCGAGAGCTTATCTCCTATAATGAAGTCAAAATATGTACAACAGATATGTAGGCTCATATTCCATCCAGAGTAGGAAATAGTAGGTTGCCCTTTTAAAACCTGGATCTATCCAGTGCGGCTGACCCCTGGAAGACTGGGGATTTAAAAAAAAAAAAAAAAAAAGCAGATTAACAAAGATTGGAGAATTCTTGAACAAAATCTTCTCTGATTGCTTCATTAAATTTGACCTTTTAAATAAACTTCTATGAGAGAGTAGTACTATGTTCTACAAATTTGGGGCACTTAGATTTGGTTTATAAAACTAGGTAAAGTAAACTTTCCCTACCAGCCTTACAGTTTGGTGGGGGAGAGGACACAATGAAAATATAAAATGAAAAATATAAGAGGTTAACTCACACACAATATTGGGAAAAGTCTTCCTACCTGAGGAGTCACCAAGAGGTGACATTTGATCTGGGAGAATAGGATGTGGGGAGAACATTCTAGGCCAAGGAAAGAGCATTTCTGAGGAGAGGGAAAAGGACAAGACTATTCCAGTGTTGAGGGGACAGGAGGACCACAGGGTAAAGGGCTGAGTGTGCACACTTCTCTCTCCAGAGATGAAATAGATTGTCCTTGCTTTGGGAATCAGGAATACTCGTGAACATTTCCATTTTGGACAACTTCACTGAACCATTATCAGGTGAGCATCTCCCCTGAGCAAAGTACATGCTTGGGATCCATTGTTCTGCTGGAGGTTCAAGGAAGAGACCGAGCAGGGAGATGGAGGTTGGGAAGTGAATGATGTGGGCAGCCTTGATAAAACAGGGAAAGGTAGGGTGAGAAAAGAAAGGGCAGGACTAGAGCAGGCCCAGATGCGGGATGAGGAAAATCTGGTGCTCTCCAGAGAGGCTGAGGGACTGTGGCGGAAGAGGCATGGACCAGGCTTGCTTCACTTGGTCTCAGGAAGATGGTGGCCCCTGGAGGCATTTGCTCTTCTGGACAACTCCCTCCTGTGGAACTCTTTCCTCCCCAGTCTATGGAGACCTAGTCTCTCCTCTCCCTCCCATCCCACTCCAGAACTCTCCTTGGTAGAAGCTCTTCCTTGGCTTGATTATTGGATATTGACATTTCCTGGAATTCTGCCATGGCCCTCTCGTTTTGTACTTTAGCTGCACTTTCCCTAGTTGACTCCATCGAAGCCTATGATTTTCATTTTGGCTCTTCCTGCTTTGGAAAAAGGGAGAGCAATTGAAAGGAGGGAGGGGAGGAAGGCAGGAAGAAAGAAAGAAGTGGGAAAAAACTTCTGGAAAGCACTACCACCCAAGATACTGCTTCATTAAGGTCTTATTTTACTATATTCAAAACTTTTTAGGGATTTGACCTTTGATTTCTAAAACTCAAGGTAATATTGGTATGATAATAGTGCTTATTAATCAGGGCTCAAAATAGCTATGGTATTTCATTTCTTAATCTGGCATTTTCTCGAACCTAAAAAGTACACAAGAAAGTCCACGCATGACCATGGCCAGGTCTTGGTCTACTTCTCTGAGTCTCTTGCTAGGGTGACTACTGACCAGAACCCTTAGATCTACCCAGGCAAGAGGAGCCCCTGTCCTGGGTCCTGTTCTCTGTGCCCCTTCTCACTGGCCAAGGAATCCACAGGGCCAAGGGACCAACCTATCCAGAGTCCATGCCCTTCCCCCAGATCCCAGAATTTCCTGCTCCAAATGGCCCAAACCAACTCTAGGGCCTATGCAGGGCCTCTCTTCTGGGCCATCCTCTGGAGCCACTGCAGTGCTCAGGCCTGAGGGTGACCTGGGGCACTGATTGCAGGTGCATGTGGCCGAAGCTTGGCCCTGCGCCCTGGTGTCAGTCTCTATCCTGAAAGGCCCCTCCAGGTGTGTGCTGAGCAGGTCGTGGGAGGAGAAGGGGCCAGGAGGGAGCCCTGCCCACGTTCCACACTCCAGTGCAAACGCCAAAAAACCTGACCATTCTGACTTCAATCCTGGACTTTCCACTGGAAAGTGAATTGTCAGTGTAGAGAGACAAACTATACACTAATGAATGGTTTATGGGTTTAATAGTTGGTAGATTCTTGCATATGCACAATCTGGGCCTCCATTTGTACTCTTGGCCCAAGCCCTGCAAACGTTAAAGGTACACCAGGGACTGAGAGTGGAATGTCCCTTCTGCAGTCTTTGTGAGGGGAAGCGTTCTGAGGGGAGCAATAAAGAGGATGTACAAATGCAGTGTGTGCCCGGAAACACTTGGTCTGACCCCTCAGGGGGCATCGGGAGGAATTTATGCTCTGCAGTTTCACCAGCTAATAACTACTGTTTCTGGTGCTTCCTTCTAACCTATAAACCCTTCTCCTTACATGTTCTCAGTAGTGCCTGCTGTAAAATGGGCTAGCCTCACAGCAGACCCAGAAGTTCAAGGAAATGCGAGCATTCCTGACTTAAAATAATCTGACAAAAATATTCTTTCATTTATTGGGAGATGTTAAAATGCATACAAACAGATTCTTTGATATGAACATTACATTTCATTGATATATATAGTGTGGGTGTTTGGTTATATTGCTGAGGGAAGTCTGGTTTTAAAAATCTGGGAAGCTTTTTGTTTTGTGCTTCTGAGAAAGAGCTTCTGGAGCCGTGTTCCAGCTTCCCCTCAAAAACAACACTGGTTTAGGGATACCTGGGTGGCTCCGTTGGTTAAGCGTCTGACTCTTGACCTCAGCTCAAGTCTTGATCTCAGGATCATGAGTTCAAGCCCCGCGTTGGGCTCCACACTGAGCATGGAGCCTACTTAAGAAAAAAAAAAAAACACTGATTTAAACTACCACCTGCTCAACCGCCTTTGAAAGCTTTATCTCCAGGCCTGGCTTCTCTCCTGAGGGGTGCTCCATGTAGCCACTCGCCCAGCCAACACCTCTGTCTAGCTCCCCACCCTCGACATGGAATAGTTTGTATTAGTATCCTGTGGCTGTTAAAACAGATTAGCGCATACCTAGTGGCTTAAAACAAAGGAATTTAGTCTCTCACAGCTGTGGAGGCCAGAAGTCTGAAGTCAAGGTGTCAGCTGGGCCATGCTCACTCTGAAGGCTCTAGGGGAGGATCCTTCCTTGCCTCTTCCAGCTTCTGGTAGCTCCGGGCATTCCTTGGCTTGTGACTATAAGGAATCCAATCTCTGCCTCCATCTTCACATGGCCTTCTCTCCTCCCCTGTATGTCTCAGATTTCCCTCTGCCTTTCTCTTATAAGAACACCTGCCATTGGATTTAAGGCCCATTCTAAATCTAGGATAATCTTATCTCAAGATCCTTAATTACATCTGCAAAGACCCTTCTTCCAAGTAAGTTTACATTCACAGGTTCACAGGTTATGGTTGGACAAAGGATATGTCCAAGTGGATAACCCACTATTCAACTCACTACATAATTCATTGCATTCCATCAAAACCAGTTTCTTCTGCCGGATCTGTCTGAGGGTAGGGAGGAGCAGGTACCCGCATTTCCAAAGTTGACATGGGAAGCCTTCCTAGACCATCCTCTGTTTTCTCCCTCATAGCCAGTCTGTCACCAAGGGCTGTCAATTCACTCCTCCTACCTCTGGAATCCATCTTCTCCCCTCTGGTGCCCACTGCCACCCTCAATGACCTTCTTTCTGTTTTTCAAACTCCGACCTCAGTGCCTTTGCATGAACTCTTGCCTCTCTCTGGAAGTTTCCATCCCTCAAGCTTCACAGGCAGGCTTGCTCTTTTCACAGAATTCTTAGGTCAAGTGTTACAGCTTCTGAGAGGGCTTCCCACCTCCCCACCATGGGCCTCAAATAAATTCCAGTGATTCTATCATGTCACTCTGCTTTATTCTTCCAAAACCACACACATACACAATAAATTCCATCAGGACAGAGTTGTCTATTTGTTACCTCTGCCTCCCTGGTCAAAAACAGTGACTTGTGCATATGTGTTATCTCTACTTACTGCTTCTTCAGATGTCAGCATGAATCTATTCACCACCTCTTTCCTCAGAAACCTCTCTCAAGGTCATCAGTTTGCCAAATCCAACTCCAATGTACCACTTAGCAAACATGTTATTGTTCTCTCTGCGATATTTTACACCTGCATTTCCTCCTCCCTGATACTTTCACCTCCTTGACCCTCTAAGGAGGGTGAATATATCATTTGTCTTCCAAACTGGGCCATTGCTTAAAGTGACAAAGGGCACTAATGAATTATTATGCCAGGCTAACTGTCATAAACCAAGAATCTCCCAGGCAAACTCAGACGTATGGTCTCCCTCCTTCCAAGACCTCCCTTTCCCTTCTCTTGGCGGCCTGTCCTCAGACTCCTTCTCCTCCATCTACTCTTTAAATGTGTCCCGGACCCTCCTCTGTTGTCATGCTACCCCACTCCCTGTGTGACCTTATCACCCACGACTCAATCCCCATCTGTCTACAGTGTCTTGATTCCTATACTCCATGTACAAACCCAACTGTGGACCAGAAGTCTCTTACCTAGATGTCCTCGAGGAAACACTGCATCGACATCTCAAACCAAATTCATTATCTTCAACCTCACACATGTTCTCTTGCTGTTGATGAATGGTAAGTGGGGGAGCATGGAGGAAGGGGTGGTTAAGAGCATAGGTTCTAGAGTTATGGCTGCCTGGGTCCAAAGCCACATCCCAGCCATGATGCGAGAGCCATTATTTAACCTTTCCAGGCCTCAGTTTCCTTACCTGTAAAATGGAGATAAAGGCATCTACCTCATAAGTTGGTTGTGGGGATTCAATGAGACAGTAATGCCAACGGCAGATATTTATGGGGGCACCACATGAGCTGGGCACTTCTGTGTAGCTCCCATGTATTATTTCATTGAATCTGCACAACAGCCTAGTGAGGTAAGTGCCATTATTTATTATTATAAGCTCCAGGCCCATGTGGGGTTTGAACTCATGACCCCAAGATCAAGAGTCACATGCTCTACCGACTAAGGCAGCCAGGCACTGGGGTAAGTGTCCTTATGGTGACTCCTTCATGTTCTCTGTGTGCAAAGTGCTTAGCACAGTATCCAGTATATAATAAGTGCCCAGAAGGGGGTGCCTGGGTGGCTCAGTCGGTTGAGTGTCTGCCTTCGGCTCAGGTCATGATCCCAGGGTCCTGGGATGGAGCCCCGCATCAGGCTCCCTGCTCAGCGGGGAGCCTGTTACTCCCTCTCCCTCTGCCCTCCCACCCTACACACTTGTGCTCTCTCTCTCAAATAAATAAATAAAATCTTAAAAAAAAAAAAAAATAAGTGCTCAGCAAATTGTTTCCACCCTCTATCCAGTCCGCCAAACCATCTGCCCAGGAGGAGGCCTTTTTTCCTCATGCTTCCTCATGCTATGCCTATCAAGTCCTGTCACCTACATTTTAAAGTGCTCTGTGCTTTCCCAGAATTTACTTATTTAATTATTATTCTATATTCCTAGTTCATTGTCCAATGTGTCTTGATATTGAGAAATCAATGACCAGGGTACCAGTTGTGAATGGAAAGACCCAGATCTCTGCCTCTAGTTTGAGGCTTTTCCTTCCAAACCTCTCTTCTGCTCGCTTTCTTGGAACCTTGCTGCATTGCCGTAAAAACGAGTTCAGCCCCACGTGCTGGGGGACAAGAATGCATGGAGCAGGGAAGAGGCAGCCCAGCAGAGGCCACCCTAACCCAACAGCGTCCAGCCAAGCTAGCAGCCGGCCACCGACACGTGAGTGGACCTGGCCCACACCGGAAGAACCACCCAGCCGAGCCCAGAGCAAGCTGCGGACCTACAGAAAGGTAAGCTAAGTAAAAAGCTGTTATCTTCAGCCACTACGTTTTGGAATTGCTTGTTATACAGGGAAAGCTAACTGATACACTTAGATACAGGAGTTTCAGCTGCTGTAACAAGATGCCCCAGGCTGGGCGGCTTAAACAACCAAAATTTGTTTTCTCATGGCTCAATATGCCAGAAGTCCAAGAGCAAGGTACCAGCAGAGTTGGTTTGTGGTGAGACCTGTGTTCCTGACTTGCTGTGGCTTCACATGCTGTTTACTCTGTGCAAGCCCACAAAAAGGACAGAGATCTCTGGTGACTCTCCCTCTTCTTACAAGGACATCAGTCCTATCAGATTAGGGCCCTGCACGCATAACCGTATTCACCCTTAATTACCTCCTAGCAGCCCCACCTCCATATACAGTCACACTGGAGGTTGGGCTTCGACATATGAATTTGGGGGGCACACAATTCAGTCCATAAAAGGTATCAATCACCAAGCAGAAGCAGGGACCCTAAGAACTGCCAAGATCACTTGAAGGTAGCATGAGAGTGCAGAGGAGACTCATAAACTAAGGACAAACTCAGGGTACCCACAGCACTCCTGGGGCCAGCAGAGGATGAGGGACCCCTGAGGGGACGGAGCAGGGAAGGTAGAGGAAGTACGAGGAGAAGCAAGCGTATGTTAAGGAGGCACTGAAGTAAAGCTATTCCACAAAAGAGGAAAGGATCAACAAAGTCAAGTGCAGTAGGCAGAAGTCAGGGACTGAGAAGTGCCCACTGACCTCGGCCAGCTCCTTGGTGATGGCAATAAATGTCAGAATCATGGTAGGGCCAGACGCCACATCGGGGTGGACTGAGGAACAAACGGGAGATAAAGAAATGAGTGAGCCGATAAAGCAAGCTTCTGAGAAGTTTGGATGAGAAGAAACAAGAGAAATCTGGAACATAGGATCAAGAAGAGGTTTCTAGGATGGAGGGACTTGTGCAGCTTTACAGGCCAAGAGCAATGAGCTAGAAGCGGGGAGAGGCTCATAATGACGGAACAAGGTCTGGAGGGGGCCGAGGGGGAAGGACCAAGAGCTAGCCCTTGTCATTAGCATTTGCTCCGGGCCAAGACTGTGCCGAGCCATCTGTGGGGTTTATCTCACTGAATCCTTCCATCAGCTCTATGAGGTAAAGGCAAGTACTATCCCATGTCACTGATGGGGAAGCTGAGGCATCGAGGAGATGAGGAGACCTAGTCAAGATCACACAGCCAGGAAGTGATATAAATGGGATTTGGACCCTGGTGACCTGACTTCATAGGCTGGGGGGATCTGACCTGGATTTTGGCCTGCTTCTAAAATTAACAGGAAAGCAGGAGGGATGGTGGTAGCAGACTCGGTAGGGGGCAAGAATTTGATGGTGATCATGTGTTCCCAGTGGCCTCAATTTTGTTTTGCGGTCGCAGACAAGGAGCTAAGCGCTATACCTGGGGTCGGGAGGGAGCTCGGGCCGGCAGAGGAGCAGCTTGAAGTCAAGGAGCCTCAGGGCTGCTCCCCAGGCTGCCAAGTGAGGCTGAATTGGGAGTCTGAGTTTGTAGTGATGCCAACGCTGTGGGGGTTGTGTTTCTCCGGGGAGGGGAGGAGAGGGCGCACTGGCCCCCCAACCAGGGTAGGAGGCTTGCCAAGGGGGTGCCGCCAAAGGGTGAGGGAAAGGGCCGTGGCTATTGGTGAGAGTCGGTGGTGCCTTTGAAGGCACGGGAGGGCTGAGCTCCACCCCACAGCAATTACACCAGAGTCTCCGGAACTGGGGTGCAGCTCTGCTTAGTCGCAGTCCCCAATGGGGGCTCTGATTCCAATCCAGCACGGAGTGCAGGCTGAGTCCGGGAGGGTAGGGAGTAAGAGGTGTACAAGGCAGAGGAAGGGAGTGAAGGAAGGTGGAAATGGGGGGGGGGGGGGGGAGGAGGACACCTCAAGGTCAGAATTGTCCTGCTTGGAGGGCTAGGAGGGCTGGGAGAGGTTCCACACCGTCTTCCACACCCATATTCTTGTGGCCAAAACTGAATAGAATTGTCTCTGGCCTTTCCCTTCATCCTCAGAGCAGAGAGCTCCGAGGCGCTGAACGAGGGCAGGCCTCAGGAGCTGCCTGAATGGGATTTTCTTCCCGTACGACCAACACAGCCCTGGAAGAGCCACCAAGGAGTGACATCAGGAGTGGGTTATCTGTAGATCTGGTATCTTCCACAGCTGAGGGACTTTTCAGGGCAAGGAACAGTGGGGATTTGTTTAGGATGACTGAAAATGGGAGAAACATGTTCGTTTTAGCCAACCAATATTTTTCGAGCTCCAATATGTACCAGGCAGTATCTAAACATGACAGGTAATATGATCTTGTATGGCATTTCCCAAAGCATTCTCTGGGATGGTAACAGTGTCCCTTTTAAAAAGGGGGTGGGATCCAAGTGCAAATAAGTTCGGGACACATTAGGTTAGAGAGAGTTAAACAGATTTACTCCCTGCAGGACTTCTCAGAGCCTTTCATCTGTCAACACGGTCTGAGTCTCTCCCAGAAGTGGAGATGCTAGCATCTCCCTAGGAGGCTTGACCCAGGTCTCTTTCATTCCTGGCAGACCTAGGGGAATGAATGATTCATGGAACATGCTTTGAGAAGTGTAACGTGGTGGCAAAGAGCTCAGCTTTGAAGTCCTAAGACCTGGCTCCCAGCACAGGCCGTGCTGCGTGTGACCTTAGGCAAGTGCCTATGTCCATTTTCCCATCTGTAAACTAGAGCTCCTTGTGTCTCCCTCACAAAATTGTTGTCAGAAGTAAATAATGCCCATGAAGCACTGGGCGCAGTGCCCGGCACACAGAAACCACTCATTAAAAGGGCTCTGGGCTGGTGGGGGAGATCCTTGTGTCTGTACTAAAATCCTGGGACACATTGGCCTGAAAAACTCTGGTTGGGGACCAGGGGTCAGAGTTTCCATCTTCTACCAAGTTACGCAAGATTCAAATGGCTTTCAAAGCCTGTGACATGACCAAAGAAAGAAGCGTTAAAGGGGATGGGGGCAGGGAGGAAGGCAGGCAAGGGACAGGGAGTGGGAAGGACAGATACTTCTGTTTCCATTCGTGCCGGAAGAAAGAGACTCTAGGAGTCAGCTGGTGGTGGGCTGATTTGGCTTCTTGCAGAGGGTGGCGACAGGGAGGGGATTGGCCAGCCACCACACCTGCCCCCAGGGCCCCAGGATTGTGACATTCAGAGTGGGCACACAGGAAGCCTCCCCAGGCCAGGCAGGTGCTGAACAGCTGTGGGACTTGGCCTCATCCCAGCGGTGTCCTTCCCGGAGGTGGACACTTCGAGAAGATTACCAGAAAAGCTCCACAGCCCTGCTTCTGGCTGACGTCAGTGCCCCTGGAAGATGTTGGGTTTGAGGGATTTCTACCTCAAAGGACGACTGGGAAAAGGATGTCCCTCTCCCAAGTGCTCTGTCCCATTTCTCTGGGGCCCTGCGGAAGTGGGAACAGATGGTGGTGTGTAGGGAGTAGGCATCTGAACTGGGGGACATTGAATAAGGACATCCCCACCCTGGGACTGGGGTGCTGCTCCAGAGACACTGGGGGGGGGGTGCACCCAGCTCCCTGAGGTCCCAGACCCCACCTCTTCACTCTGGCCCCTAGAAACCAGCCCCCATGGCTTTCATGACACAGGAAATACCTAGCTGTATGTACACTTGAGAGCATCTACCTTCATATTCATTAGGTCTCTGCATTCTCCTCACCTCTGGGGTGGGGGACGGGAGAAGATTCGCCAGCAAACACCTACCAGTAACTGTGATCTCCATTTTACAAGTCTCAGAGGTCAGGCATCCTGCCCAAGGTCAACAGCCACACCAGGATCTGAACCCACATTCTGTTCAACACCAAGGCTTTCTCTAATTAGGAGGGATGTGCAGGGATCTCCAGTTTAACCTCTGGCTATGTCCTGGTTTACTGGGAAAAAAACATATGTATAAATCAGTAGAACATCTCTGATGGAAAGAACGCTAATCTTGTTTTTTGTCTTTCCTAAGGAAAAAAAAAAATTGCAGAGCCCTGGTGCACAGAGCTCTATCAGCCTCTGACCAGGAGCTAACGGTTTTTCCAGGAGAATACCCCATCATCACCAGACAATTCAGACAGGCCTCCCTCCCCTGGCTTCTGGGCTGCCCCCCAACACTCCCCTAGTCTCTTTTTCTAGCCAGGGTGGGGCCTCTGGGGCTCATGGCCTTGGGCCCAGAACTCGCCTCGCCTCCTTTCTTGGCAGCTGCTAGGCATCTCCACAGTTTTTGGCCTAGTAAAACCCTTTTTTGCCTGCCCAGGGGAGAGTTTTGATTGGCTTCAGCTGGATGACCTCATCCTCTCCAGAATCTGGGGGTGTTCCCATTTTCCACTGCTCCACCTTCATCCAAGGAGTTCCCTCTAGCCATCTTTTCTCTAAAAGCCGCCCCCACCCCAAATTGCCCAGGCTCTGGACTCCCCTAGCCTCAGTTGGGAAGGCAAGTGTGTGCTCTGGATACCTGCTCACCCCCCAGCCAGGCGCTCAGCGCTGTCTGGGCTGCCCCCCACCTCCCCCGGCTCTGCCCAAGCCCCTCCTGCGCATTCCCTCTGCCCTCACAGTCTGCTTTCCCATCCATGGGCCTCTGCTCAATTTCCAGGGCGCAGGGGAAGCTGCATTATTTTAAATGATCATATTACCCTTGTGGCTGCCCTTTTCATGTTACAGTATCTCACTTAATCTTCACAATAATCCCGTGATATAAGGAGTCCCCAGTTTGCCAATGAAAAAATGGGAGACTTAGAGAATCAATGTGACCCACTCAAGACGAGCTATTAGTGTGGATGGAGTGAGGAGCCACACACAGGCATGTCCATCCCAAAGCCACGACACGGTGCTTGTCACATTGAGAGATGCTGCTGGCTGGGCCCACACGAGCGACCCTGCCTGCCACACATCTGGCTTCCCTGGAAGGATCAACAACAAATCCCATTGGCTCTCCCTTCCAAACACTCCAGAATGTGACCACCTATAGCACAGCCCGCGGCTGAGCCACCTCTGCCTCCCACCTGGATTCACTGAGATCCCCATCTAAAGGGTCTCTTGCTCTGCCTTCACCCTCCCTGGTCATTCTCCACAGAGCAGCCAGAGTGGTTCTTTAAGCTGTTTTCTTTGATCACGTCTCTCCTCTGCTCAGAGCCTTCCAATGGCTCATGTCTCACTCAGAGTCAAAGCCAAAATCCCCACGGTGGCCCAGAAGGGCCTCCATACCTGCAGTCCCATTATCCCCCCACACACGATCTCTGACTTCACGTCTCACTGTTCTCACTGTTCTCACTGTTATACCAGCCTCCTTGCTTGTCCTTCAACACAGACAGCAAGCTCCTGCCTCAGGGCCTTTGCACTTGCTGTTTCTGCTAGTGACAGCTTCATCCACCTTGAGGGGTCGAGACCCCGGAAAAGGGTGAACTGGATCCCAATATTACCCAAGTCAGGTTTGACGCACTGCTGTTCAGAGTTGATGATCTTCTGGTGAGAGAACCAAGACAAAGTCTAATTGAGAGTTATACTAATGGTGCTTTTTAAATTAAAATGAAAAAAAAAAATAGGAAGGTGCAGGTACTCAAATCATGATGAATTGTTGAGCACTTTGCCTACCTTCCTTCCTCCTGCACCTCCTCCCCTGTGTCTGTGGCATCCGCAGCCTTCCCTGCTTGGCACACAGAGTGACAGGTGTAGGCTGTCATTGTGAGAACTGGAAAATGCGGTGTGTCGGGCTCATTAGCATGCAAACAGCAGTGCCCTTTCTCTTCTCCAGAGGAAGGGCTGGATGGGTCGGAGGGGCACCAGCGGGAACTGTGCTTCCTGCAGAGGTGGATGGTGGAAAGGGGGATAGTCCTTTATTAGAGCAAACGTCCATCAGTGTCTACATGGAAAAAAAAGACTTGCGCTCTCAGCATGTTCCTCGAGGGGAAAGCACAGAAAATGCGAGATTATACTTAGGAAATCCACAGAAGTGGTAAGTGGGCTCCATCTTCTCTAGTTGCTGATCTCCACATGATAGATGTGGCCCCCAGGAGACAGCCTAGTGGCCAGGCAGAGCCAGGTAGCAGGCAGCGTAGGGTTTGGCGAAGAGCTGGTGTCAGATTGTCTAGGTTTTGAATATTGGCTCCGTAACTCTTCGGAGGTGAGATTTTCCGGTCCACCTCCCCCGCCCCAAGAGAGGTCTTAACCCCCAGTACCAGAGAATGTAGTCTGACTTGGAAATAGGGTCTTTACAGATGAAATAGAGTTAAAATGAGGTCATTAGAGGGGGCCCTAATCCGATATGACTACTGTCCTTATGAAAAGGGGGAATTTGGACACAGAGGCACACACCTAGGAGAATGCCATCAAAGATGAAGGGAGAGATTGGGGTGATGTTGGCAAACATCAAAATCTAGGAGAAAGGCATGCATGGAACAGATCCCCCCCACAGCCCCCAGCACCAACCTTGTGGACACCGTATTCTCAGATCTCCAGCCCCCAGAATCATGAGACAATCAACTGGTTAAGGCACCGAGTTTGCGACACTTCGTTATGGCGGCCCCCACAAACTAATACACTGTTAAGTTTCGGAGGCTCACTGATTCTGATTCTCTGCTTTCTGGTCTATAGAATGGGCATGAAATTACCTCTCACAGTTGCAACAATCACATACAATTAATCCATCTCTGCAGTAATTCCAGGCACAGGGTGTGCCCTCCATGTCCGTGGTGGTGGCTCTTGGAAGTTGGAGCAGCTCATAGCAAAGATCTTTTCCTGCCCCTCATTTCCCAGCCATCCCTTTCTCACCACCATCCCGGATGAAGAGAGCCACCCAGGAGCAGCGTGCTCTGTGCACCGAGCGCGGCACTTAGTTACTTAGGGCTGCCGGGCGGTCCGCAGGAAGGGGAGGCAGGAAGGCCTGCCGCAGCCCTCCTGGAGCCTGGGTTAACCCTGATGCTGATCCCTGCCTTGTGGCTCTCAATACACAGACAGAGAGAACGGAGAGGAGGCCAGGTCAGCCCTTCCAGATATTTAAAATGACTTTCAAAAACGAATAAAATAAAATAACTTTCGGTCAAAGAGGCAGCATCATTGTCAAAAGCAGACACTTATGGGGCGCCTGGGTGGCTCAGGCATTAAGCATCTGCCTTCGGCTCAGGTCATGATCCCAGGGTCCTGGGATCGAGCCCCGCATCGGGCTCCCTGCTCGGCGGGAAGCCTGCTTCTCCCTCTCCCTCCCCCTCCGCTTGTGTTCCCTCTCTCGCTGTGTCTCTGTCTGTCAAATAAATAAATAAAATTAAAAAAAAAAAAAGCAGACACTAAATCACACCCCTCATGCTCAGCGTGATCTTGAACATCCCTCCTTGCTTCAGAGAAAGGGAAGGCATGAGATGAAGCAGTGCCCCACTTTGAAAGTGGAAAGTGAACGAAACTATTGTCCATTAAATGTGTACTGTTTACTGTAGCGGACCTCCCACGCCTCGGGGTGTTCGAAAAGTTGTGAAGTCGTGTGTGTTGTTTAGCATGTGATGCGTACACTTAAAAGTTCCTTGCAGGTCTTTAGATAATCAATGTGATATGTGTATTTTGTAGGGCCTGGAAAATAGTTTTACTTTTTTGAGTAAGTGTGGAGATTTGTAGTTACTATGGCATTGGTTTTATGGTATATTCTTGGCTCTATCTATGATTCATTTATTTGTTCAGGAACCTGCAATTGTAACATTATTCCTTTTGGAAGCTTTTCTCCTCCTCCTTGACACCTTAAAGTTTATCTTTTCTTCTTCTTTGCTTCTACAGTTTGTGTTGTTATTTTTGTATTTTAACAACATCTACCACAACTAAAAGCTTTTATGGGGGGCGGTTATAAGTGTGATCCATGCTTATTTTTTAAATTTTGGAAAAGACAGCAGAGTATAAAAAAGAAAGTAACATTTCCCGGGATCAAAACCTCTTAGAATATTTCCTTCTTGTCTTTTTTCTCAATCCGAGCATAAATCAGCAGTGCATATGTAAGAGGAACAGGTGGGAGTAGAGAGCTGTGTCTGTGGCCAAACCGGGAGTGTCTGGGCTTGTGTAGGGAAATGGTGGGGCAGCTGCCAGGGGCTGATGATACAGGAGTGAGGAACCTTCTAGGTGAGCGCTCATCCCATGGGGAGAGAAGGTCAGGCAGATGCCTTTGCCTCAATGAGTAAGCCTTCATTATTAAAGGAGTGCCTCTGGATATAACCCAGCTCAGCTCTGAGCTCAGAACCCATGGAATCGATCTCAGTCGGGGGGTGGGTGGTGGTGGGGAACTCCTGGGCATCGATGTCAGACACCGCAGAGCTGTTTCCCTAAAAGCGCTGTAAGACACTGGGGCTCGGACAGCCCAGCTTTACAACTCCCTGGCAGAGTATGACACTGGCAGGAGAGAGGTGTGCTCTGTGACATCACGCCAGGTCTAGGACCTGCTTCATCAGCTGTAGCAGCCCAGCAGGGGTGTGGTACACAGGGCACCGGAACCGAGCAGGGAAGAGGGGAAAGCAATCATGGAAATTATGTGTTAGCGACAATGCCCAGACTTAGGCATGAGCCCAGGTGGAAACTTCTAGAAACACTTGGAGCGAACTTGCAGAAGCAGATGGGAGCAAGAATATGCAAAGCTTAGGTGCCTTTTACTGTGAGGACTTGCTCTATGACTCTCGCCAGACAGTGAGACACCTGAGGTCATGTCATATTTAACTTTATTCCCATCACTTGGCTCACTGCCTGGCATATAGTAAGTGCTCAGGGCATGAAATTTTTGCTGACTAAATATCACCTCCTTTTCGATAATCTGATTTATGACATGGTTTCCAGGAACATATTATGGTTAAAAATGGGACTCCCTGGACAGAAAAATGAAGTCAGAGATGCTGCTCACAAATTTGGCATCAACGACCCTTGGTACTCCCTTCCCCCAAATTCTCTGGGTCCCTGCAATTCATTATTTTCAGAAACATCAAGGTTAGAAAGATGGCAGAGTTCTCCATCCATGAACGCCCTTGAGCTCTGACACTTCTCCTCATTATTTAAATGGAACTGGGAGTAGACGAGAGATCAGAACCACCCGAGCCACCTCCTTAGGTGGACAGGAGCCTGGAGATCATAGCCTTTGTTTTACTGGTGAACTGGGGGATATTAACTGGGCGCCAACCATGTGTCTGGCACCGTGCTGGGTATCCTGGAGGTTCTAGATAAACAGATCTTGGTCCTTGCCCTTGGGGAGTTTGTCACAGTGAGAGAGATTAACAGTGCAAATACCACTGCACTGCAGAGGTGTTCAGGGCAGTGTGCCATCAGGAAGCAGTAGCGTAGAAGAAGTGGCCAGCAGGATCTAGCGAGACAGAGACCCTGGAGGCCAGAGGAAGGAGAGAGCTTTGCGAAGAACGTGGGGAACAAGTGAGCATGGAGGACAGTATCGCCTTGAGGTTGAGAAGGAAGTCAACTAGCTGGGTTCCCATCCAGCTCTACCCTGTCTAGCTGTGTGACCTTAAGCTAGTTATGTCACCTCTCTAAGACTTAGCTTCTATAAAATAGTTCCTACCTCATGGGGTTGTTGAGGAGTAAACAGTATGCATAAGGCGCTTAACACGGTGCCAGGCACACAATTAGCACTCAATAAATACCAGCCACCGGGGCGCCTGGGTGGCTCAGTCGTTAAGTGTCTGCCTTCGGCTCAGGTCATGATCCCAGGGTCCTGGGATCGAGTCCCGCATCGGGCTCCCTGCTCCGTGGGAAGCCTGCTTCTCCCTCTCCCACTCCCCCTGCTTGTGTTCCTACTCTCACTATGTCTCTCTCTGTCAAATAAATAAATAAAATCTTTAAAAATAAATAAATAAACAAATAAACAAATACATAAATAAATAAATACCAGCCACTGCTTTTGTTATAAGGAAGAGTGAGTGGGATTTGGAGAGGGATAGAGATTGCGAAGCCTAAGCGAGCTTCTGGAGTAGTTCAGTTCAACTGGACGGATGTTTACTAAACACCTAGTATGTACCAGGCATTGTGCTTGGCTCTGTGTCTGTCGTTCCCATGCCTGATGCAAGTGTGGTGGAAGTGTGAGAATCCCGGGGACAAGGACTTGCTCCTGTCACTTTTTTTCTTTTCTTTTCTTTTTTTTTTTCAGTGCAGAAAAGGTGGTTTTTTTGTTTGTTTGTTTGTTTGTTTTAAAGATTTTATTTATTTATTTGACAGAGACAGAGATAGCGAGAGCAGGAACACAAGCAGCAGGAGTGGGAGAGGGAGAAGCAGGCTTCCCCCCGAGGAGGGAGCCTGATATGGGACTCGATCCCAGGACCCTGGGATCATGACCTGAGCCAAAGGCAGATGCTTAACGACTGAGCCACTCAGGCGCCCAGAAAAGGTGGTTTTTATTAAAGCACAGGAACACGACCTGTGGGCAGAAAGAACTGCCATCACTTTTGCTCTTAAGGGATTCTGGAGTGTGTCCCCTTGTCACCATGCCCACCCCCTAGTTGAGGACCCAGTTCCTCACCTGGATGATCACAAAATATCATGGCCTGTCTCCTCTGGCCTTGTCCCCTCTGGCCTTGTCCCCTCGCATTGGGCATTAGGGTGATCCTTTGAAGGCACAAATGAGTTTGTGGCCGTCCCTTTTAGAGTCTCCACTGGCCTCAGACAGAGCCCTCATGACCAGTTTCACTCTCTCCCATCTAACTGGATGGAGACACACTGAATTGACTTGTAGTGGCTTGAATGGACTGAACTTTCCAGATGATTGAAATGTTCTTCCTGCTGCTCAAGACTCTCCCTTTCTTCTCCCGTCCAGCCCTCCCCTACCCGCTGGCTAATTC